AAATGTAGAAGAACTTGTGTGTATTTTATGAGTGCTGTCTCTGACATAGACTGTAAAATTCGGTTAGGTGAATGTTTATTGCAAACCATATATAGGGAACTTTCTGTGCACAAGGATGAATAAGTCCTGGTTTCTTCAAGTGGATTATACTCTAGTACTCATTGCTTGTATTTAGTTCTAGATTAGCAGAACAAATCCATTGCCTGTTTTTAGTATTATGAGACTAATAACTATCTTTCAAAACAGCCAAATGATTTATTTTTACCATCTGTATCAGTTAGAATTTGGGCAAGAAGCATATGGCACATTCAGATTTTTTAAACTTAGGGAAGTTTAATCAAGTGTCTCTGTAAAGGTATGGACAAGGTCTAGGAGGGAAGCCACAAGGTATAGGAAAGCATAAATGTAGTACTCACAGGCCAACATCAGAATGTCTTTATTATTTCTAAGGCTGAAAGCGTGAGAAGTGGTTTCTGGGATTTGGCATCAGTATTGTGACCTTGGGCCAAGAAAAATAATCAGGACATTTGACTGTATATGGCAGGAGCCAGCAAGGTAAACTCTTTAGTGTCATTCTTGTTTTCTCCTTCAGTCTCCTGTTGATGTTCCCTATTAGCTGAATTCCACCAAAAGCTAGAGAGCAAGAGAACCTGTTGATATAATCCATGCTAGGTAGCTTTCTGACAGAAAGCAGAAGGGTGGAGACTTGATCTGGATGAGCAAATGCAAGCCATCCTAAATTATTTTTCATGTATTTAGCAAATATTTTCAAGGCTCCATTAATTGCAAAGGTGTAAGAACTATGGGTCATATATAAAAGGATTGTCTATTTCTTCAGGGATCTTGCCCTCTAATAAGGGAGAAGAAACCACCAATAGAAACTAAATTTAAGATTTGTGTTCAGGCAGAGGTTGAATGCCACATGAAGCATTAGATGAAGCTTAAGTGTAGTAGTTCAGAAGAGGAATTATTAATGTATACCTGAATTTTTAGGGAAGGTTTTGTGCAGAAAACAGAACTTGAATTTGGTCAATGAAGGGTTGACAGATTTTTTTTTTTTTTTTTTGGTAGTAAGGATGGAAGATAGAATCATATAGCATATAACTTGCTAAGGGTATGAATTAGAGTCTCATTGAAGGTGGTAATTCATCCAAGGTTAGTGAGAGATAAGTTTAGAAATAGTTTGAGATTAGGCTTTAGAGGGTCTTAAAGAACAAGATCAGAATTTGTGCTTTTTAAAAATTGTCCTAATTACCTGCAATAAGTTACTAGGTGTTGTGTGGTAAAGGAATTCTACAGTGAAGAGGAAAGAAATGATAGCATGACTGGGTAAAGTATAAATGATGGGGCGGGCAGGCATTGAGCGGGGATCAACGATGGTACAAACTGTGACTTTCAGGCCTAAATCATCCAGCTCTGAGTTAGTTAAACTTCAGTCTATAATGTTCACATAATATCAGGAATAAAGTATTTAAAACAGCATAAAAAGATTGAATGAGAGTACACAGGAAGCAACATTATGCCTATTCTGCAAATGAGTTTGAAAGATTATGTCCTAGAAATATTTGTACATTATCACACTGGTGTCAAAACTGGTTGAGATTCAAACTAGAAGAGCTGTGTTCTGACCAAACAAGATTGATTCACTGAACTGTTGGAATTTGTACACAGCCAACATAAACTATATATTTATTGGTCTTACCTGTAACCACACACCTTTTATGCCCCCTAATAAAGAATTTTGGCACAGACTGGTTTAGAATAAGAGCCAATTGTGTCTTATTTATTTGGAGTATTATTAAAAGCAATCACCTAAAAACATGCTTGTTTTTATAGCATGTTTCTTAACACCTTTCAAACCAAAGTCATGTTAGGAATCATTTGCTTAGTGTTTGTTTAGAGCCACATACTAAAAGAAACTTGTGTTAGATAAACAGGTGAATGCTAAGTAAATCTTTATTAAATCATAATTTGTTATTAAGTCATAATTCATCACCAGGAGGGAGCAGCAGCTCTATAATGTTGTATGTAGTTATGCTTCTTAATTGATGTTCTCTTTGCAGCTGTAATATTCTCTTTCATTTTAAATCATATGCTTGCTGTCATTTTCCCATTTCTCCTCTTTGCATGAATGCTTTTTTGTTTATCTTTTTATTGTGTTTTTATTTATAGAAGACAAAGTATAATGTAATGTTTCTTTCTTATTGCTTGCTAAATTCCTTGTTTAAATGCTAAATTACTCTTTTAATGTAGTTTTGGGATAAATTTGCTGAAAATATTCAGTGCTTATATTTTCAGTTTTGAATTTATTCATATTGTGACAGTAATTGGTAGAAAACTGTTTCTCACAGCTGACAGGCCAAAGAAAAAAAAAAGCTTGGGGACAAAGCTACCACATGCCAGAGTGCTGAGGACCCATCAGATATTTAAGGAAGTGGCATTTGTACTTGCATTATTTAAACTACTAATGGAAAAAGAAATGGGAAGAGACCTTATTTGTACCAAGCATATTATAAAATTCATTTTCTGAAGACTCATGTTTTTTGAAAAAGGTATATCTATAAGACATTTTATAAAGCTCACAAACCAAGTAGATAAGTTCATCTGAAAAACAACTGGATATCATGAATGCTATGACATATAGCTTTTTTAAAATCCAAAAACCCCTAGCAATTGGTTTTTAAGTTCAAATTTCAAACGGAATCTGTGTCAATTTTATCATTTTCTACTACAGAAATACTATTTAATAAGTCCTATAACAATATAACCCTTTTTTTTACCACTTACTTTAGACCATTGGTGGTCAGACTGACTTGGGGGACCTCTTGAGTCTTTAAGAATCCCCCAAGTGATGACCTAGCTGGTCTTTTGTCTTAATGATTATGGCTGTGTTCCTATTCTTTCTGGCAAGAATGAACAATCATACTTAGTAAAATCCATAGCATCTGATTGATGTTTCATCAAAGAGAAAACAATTTTGCCCTTAATTCTCATGTGGTTTGCTGGGGAAGCAGGAATGAATGCAACAGTCATCCCTAGTTTATTTTGTTATTTTTAATAGTCCATGGGCTAAACTTTGAAGAGCCTTTGGAACTTTTGAATATTCTATTAAAATCATCTTCATTTGTTGTTGGAGTGAAGATTTATAAAACTCCTAACTGAAAAACTGAAGAACTTTTAAGAAGTTGCTGAATTGTCAAATACTTGAATGTAATAATTACACATTCGGACAAATGTATTTTTGCTTTTTTCCCTCATAGGTAGCCAGTGTACTGGACTGAGTAGTGTTCCCCCAAAATTCATCTCAAAAGGTGACCTTATTTGGTAATAGGAACTTTGCAGACATAATTAAGATAGGGTCAATCTGGATTAGAGTAAGCCCAAAGTCTATGACTAGTGTCCTGAGAAAAGGAAAGGATATATACAGGGATGAAAGCCATATGAAAGTGGAAGCAGAAATTGGTATGATGCAGCTACAAGCCAAGGGAGCCCCAAGGAAAATCAGGAGCCACTAGAAGAGGCAAAGAAGGATTCTTCCTTAGTGCCTTCAGGGAGAACATGCCCTTCCTGCACCTGGATTTTGGATTTTTAGCCTCCAGAACTGAGACAACAAATTTCCTTGAAAGTAGAAACATGTCATAGTCAACTTTGTAAAGTGAGCACATAATTCATTATTCCCCACATATTTGTTACCATATAATTAACTGGGTGGGCATTCTTATTTTTTAAGATTCCCTAGTATATTCTTCATGTACAAATATGTTAATTTTTTTATTAAATATGCATGTTTGAGGGACTGAAGTATAAATAACCCTAGGATATTCTATATTGAAAAAGGTGTAAATAATTACCAGATTTGAATTTTTGTAGTTAAACAAAGATATGCTAACTATTATTACACTTTCAAATCTCAGTCATGTAAAGGTAAGTCCCTAAAGGACTTCCAACCTGAATTCTCCAAAGAATATTTAATTTGTCACACTTTTACAGTAATATTATAGGGTACAGTTGAAAATAACTGCTTAACTATCAAAAATTTGGTTCATAGCATGGATTATTTAGTAAGAAAACACAATTTTTAAAGTTTAGAAAAAAGACTAAAAATGTAATTTAGAGTAACATGGTATTTTATAAAGAACTGAGATTCAAAAATAATATCAAAGTGAGTATATAGAATTAAAAAATTTTTTAATCATATAGAGTTAGTTCTGTGGCTAGGATTGTGGCTTAGTGGTACTGCACTCACCTAGCACATTCAAGGCCCTGGGTTCGATCCTCAGCACCACATAAAAATAAATAAAATAAAGGTATTGTGTCCAACTGCAACTAAAAAATAAGTATTGACAAAAGAGTTCTATAACGTACAACCTACATTTCTAAGTTATGAAAAGTGATCATTAAATATTCTTATGTCCCAGTGTAAACATTCCCCATTTACTTGTATTATTCTTATCTTTCTTTAACTTTAACTAGTTTTAAAATGGTGCTTTGAATATTTTTTATCCATGAGATGAAATATAACCAACAGAGGCCCTAATAACTGTTGGAGTTAGTTGGAGGTTGTTTTCACTTATCCCAATTATTTTATTTTATGAATTTTAATATACAGAGATTTCCAGTGTTTATATTAAATTTTTACATTTCTTAGACGATATAGGTAAAGACATATTAATCATTTAATTTATTACAGGAAATGGACCAGCACTGGAATAAAAGAATGCCAACTTTGAAACTTGGCAGACTTAAATATATGATTCTCTTAGTTATAGAAAATAATGAATTATGAATTATTAGGAGAATTTAGTTTATCCAACTGGGTAAATAAACCTCCATTGTAATTTTTAAATTCTTATATGTCCATGGACAGACATTCAAATTATTTCTCATAAGGAGAAAAGAATCAATATTTCTAGTTTGTAGATGATATTCTTTCCAGACATATTCACCATGGGTTCTAGAGGAACATGAAGATTTTAAGGACCACTTAATAATTATTTTCTTTCTGCTTTTCAATAATGCTTTCACATGCCATGAATCAAAATGAAAATCCCTGTGGAAGCCATGGGCAAACCAGGTATGCTTCTTAAAGCTTGACAGTTTCTCTGACAAAACTGAGTGAATCATATGGGTAAAATTATCCATAATTAACTCAAATTAAATAACCAGATATGACCAAGTGGATTTGTTAGGAATATGCAGGAGTTTTTAACTTGAGTTCAAAATTTGTTTGTCTCCTATAAACAAGTAATTGCATGTTGGTACTTTCAGTTTCTCCTAAACCAAATGCTCACTTTTAAAAGATCTTTTGCATAAATTATGGTATATATAATCCCTGTAATTGTAAAAAATATGAGGATATGTATTAATATGAAAAAATTTCTAATGTATATTATTATATAAAAAGGAAAAATACAGAACACTTTTTTAGAGTAAGCCATTAGTGGAAAAACAAAAGGGGCAAGTGAGTTTGTGTATGTTATAGAAACACACATACATTTATATTGACTGTGTATATAAAAAATAGTCTATTGAAGGATAAGTTTCAACTGGATTGCCAGTTGTGTATGTGCAGAAATGGGAACTCAGCAAATAGGACTGCATGGAGATAATTTTTCCTTATATATTTTATTCTGTTAAGATGTATTCATGTTTGAACTATGTGAATATATTAGTCAAAAATATAAGATAGATAGATAATAAGTATGGTGGTGAGGGTAGGGATGTAGCTTATTGGTAGAGTGCTTGCCTAGCATGGATGAGGCCTAGGTTCAATTCCCAGTACAAATATATAGTATTTATATAAATGTTGATAAATGATTTTCAGAAAATCTAGGAAGCAGAAAACATATTTTAAAATGGTTACATATGGGCTGGGCTGGGGCTCAGTGGTAGCTCACTTGACTGGCATGTGTGAGGCACTGGGTTTGATTCTTAGCACCACATACAAATAAATAAATATCTATCAACAACTTAAAAATATTATTGAAAAAATCAAATAAATGTCAAAAAAATGGCTACATTCATCTAGACAATGAAGCATTATTCAGAAATGAGCCAAAAAGAAATAAGCTTTTGAACCATGAAAAGACATGGGAGAAACTTAAATACATATTACTAAGTGAAAAACCCAATGTGAAAATGCTACATATTATGTGATTCCACCCATATGACATTTTGTGAAAGGCAAAGCTATGGAGATAATAAAAATATCAATGGTTGCCATGGGTTAGGGAGAAGGGAGGGATAAAGAGGCAGAACAGAGAGGATTCTTAATACAGTGGAACCTACTTTGATACTGTAATGATGAGATCATGTCATCAAAAATTTGTTCAAACCCATAAAATGTACACCAAGAATGAATCCCCAATGTAAACTAACGTATAGGCTGGATGATAATGATATGTCAATGTAGATTTTCTCATTTATAACAAATGTGCCACCCTGGTATGGGATACTGATAATGGGGGAGGCTCTGATGTATAAAAGTAGGGGATATGTGTATCCCCGGTATCTTTGCTCAGTATTGCTGTGTACCTAAAACTGCTCTAAAATATAAGAGCTATTGAATGATTTTACCTGAGAATTAATATGAATTAATCAATAAAATATGTAAAGCAACTTATGTATAAGCCATTATGCTAGGTATTATTGAAGCCACCAAGAAACTACAAGGACAAAGTCACAGCCTTCTGAACATATACATAGTTACATCACAAAAATATTCACTTTATAAAAGAATTCTTTACATCATGGTACAACTGTGCTCTTCCTTCAGAGTCTTACAATCAGATTAACTTTGTGTTTCTTCCAACCCTTTGTATAAAATTTAAGTTCTAAATTGTATCTTCTGGTTATTTCCCTCTAGTTGTTCCCTATTCTATTTGTAGGTTTTATAAAAAAACGAGGATCAAACATGAAAACTGGTGCTCTAGCTTGGTGCATCTATTTCTGATAACTATTTTTGCAATTGAGCTAGCCTTTGTGATAACAGTCCAACTGCTGACACCTGTGATTATTGAACTTCTTCTCTGCTATTGGCAAACAGGATGTGTTCTATGTAGGTTCCTGCTTGGTAAGGCAGCACACCAATCATGTAGTTTTATTTCACAGATTTCCCCATCTATTCTATGAGACCATCTTTCTACAGTGGGACCATCCTTTTATTATGAACCTTGAGGAAATACACCTCCTATAGAATCCCTTTCTGTCCAAAACACAGGACCTTCTGGTAAACATCAATAGGTCATTGTTGAGTTTAACTGTGTCTTCAGTAAACTTGCCCTTCCACCTCTAAAGCAGATGAACTGAACCATAAAACTGACAGATTTCCCTGTGATGGAGAAGTAGTTGGATAGGCTTTTAAATTAAATGAGGTGGCTTATTAGGTATATCATTCCACTGAGAACAGAAGCTTGGACATAATTATATCTTTTACAGTATGTATGTTTGACTTTTTTAAATGGTGAATATGGTGAATACTCTGAAAATGATTAGAGTCTTTTCCTAGATTTTAACTACTTGATAATCAAAAGGTAAAGAACTCAATGTGGTAACTTTTTTTCAGGAGATTTAATCGTTTATGATTGCATCATCCCACAATTATAATTTAAATTTTATTTATTAGGTACTGGGGATTAATCCAAGGGGTATGTAACTACTAATCCACATCCCCAGACCTGTTTTACATTTTATTTACAGTCTCTCTAAGTTGTTTTAGGGCCTTGATAAGTTGCTGAGACTAGCTTTGAACTTGAACTCGTTCTTGTCTCAGCCTCCCAAGATACTGGGACTATGGGCGTGTGTCAGTGTACCCAGCCACAATTACAATTTTAAGTGATAGATTTTTCTTTTAGTTCCAGATCTTTTTTTTTTTTTTTACACAAAAATCTCATGTGCAAACTAACTAAAAGTGGAGCTCTTTTGTTTGAAATGAAGAGTTTGATGGAGGAAGGAGTATGTTTCCCCAGAACCTTACCCTCTAGTCTCCCATGGCCCTCTTAAGCAGTACTTGAACTATTTTCATGGAATCTTTAAGGGTTTTAATTCACCTGTTATTCATCAAGAAAAGTCAAATAGAAGTATGCCGCAGTCTGGCTGGGCACAATTCACGAGCCACTTGTCAAGCAGGAATGAACTTTATTTTTAGAACGCACGCCGCACCATGCGAGCTCTCCAGGAATTCCGTCAGAGCCCAAATGCCACCACCCGCTCCTCCAGCAAGCCTCTGAACTGGCCCTCTTCCCACTCTTGACGCCGATTGCCTGGGTTGCATGGGCATATCCAAAAGAGTCCCCCAATGAGGAGCTCCATGGTCTGAAAGGGTGGGGAAACAGCGCAATGAGCTTCACCGCAGAGGAGCCAATCAGCTAGAAGTTTGCTGGGGCCACTTCGGCTGTGGCTCTCAACATCTCCCCCTCTCTGTTTAATTAAACAACAAGCATGTGGCTTAGGGACCGTGCCTGTCTTAGGTTGTCCAATACTACATATGGTCCTTACCCATCATCGGATGAGCTGACCTCAAGGCGTCAGCCTCCTGTCTTAGGTTGGTACCATTGCAGTCGGATCTTACCCGTCATTGACTACCAGTCCAGCACATAGCCACACCTGTGGATAGGCCTTTGTACCAGTGGGGGGGTAAGGTTCTTTCCCTCACCTCTGTTGGCCCCCAAAGTTTAGCTGAACGACCATCACAAGCAGAAGGGGGGAGGATACACCAAGACAATTGACAGCTCCTTTTGGAAAAATTGTACCACCGATGACACCATCAGCAAAAATACCCTGGCACTACCACAAGTCGCTGCACCAACAGATAGTTCACAATGCATACAAGTGATACATAGTCAAAGCAAGTTCTGCAAGCAGTTCAGTGATAGCTATTGCAGAAGCTATAGTTTGGTTTTATCTTTGTCTTCACTGGCACTGGGATAAAGATAGGAATTCTGCAATAATGGCTAAAGAAAAAATTATGTAACATTCCAGCAGGCACTAAAAGAAAACAATTTTCTGAACAATTTACATTATCCTGAACAGAATTATTAAATAGAATGAAAAGGAAAGGTGAAACTAAACAAACAGATCTGTTAACCTCCTTTTTTGTTCACGTATTAAAACAATCCTCAACACCTGTTTACCCAATTTAAATTAAACCATTTACATCACGTGAATAAGAAAAAAAATGTTTGGATCCATTTTTTTCATGAGCACTCATCATATATGATATGGACATACGCACATACAAACATACAACACAAAACACAAGTGTGCACATATAATACATACAACACATAACATAATAGTAAAGGCCTTGTACTTTTTACAGGTGAAATCTCCATTGCAATGTTTAAAAACTCCATAGTCAAAAAATAGAACTGATCAGCAAAACATTAACCTAGATCTGTATGAGCTTAAAAAATAGAACTTCATGATGTGGGAAAGGGCAATAATAAAATAGATATTGAAAAAAAGCATCCTGGTTTCATTAGCCTCCAGGTTTGGGAGAACCACTGTCACAGATGTAAGGATAGCCAAACTGGAGTTCTAGATATCAGCTGTTATGGATTTGAGCCAAATCATATTCTTTTTGGTCTGTAGAAATTGCTTTGGTTAGTCTCTCTGGAATCCAAATCGGCTGCTGTTCTCCCTGTGGAAACACACAAACAGACCCCCGACTCCAGACAATCACTGGGTCAAGATCTTAGTTAATCTCTCTGGAATCCAAAACGGCTGCTGTTCTCCATGTGGAAACACACCAACAAACTCCCGACTCCAGACAATCACTGGGTCAGGATCTTCCCATTGTCCTGTTAGAATATCCTTCCAAAGTACCTTGGGCTTATGTACATTTTTTGGACACATATGCCTTTCCACAGCACTAAGCCTTGATGAATCCAAATTTATAAAGTTTAGACTAAAAAGGGTTATTTTATCTTTGGGGAGTATATACCCCATCCCAATTCCCTCTTTTTGCTTTAATAAATACATTTTAATAGTTTGATGAGCTATTTCAACTATGTCTTGTCCCTGTAGATTGTATGGGATTCCTGTTATATGAGTAATGCCAAATGATGAGCAAAA